AGCCTGCAGGCTTGCTGGTGGACAGTGGTCGAGTCCAGGAACTGGTGGAGGAACACTTGGGGAACTGCCTATGGAGGAACTGCACCAACTTCTGGCTGCCAGCAGAGAATGGCAGTGAGGAGCTTTCTGAACGGGTGGGTGGGGGGCATCAACAACCAGTTCGGCAAAGTTCTTCTTCTAAAATAAGGGAAATCCTGAAAAAATGCACAGAGTTTTAAACATTTGTAGAGACGGCCCACCAGACAGAGAAAAAGCCAATCGCTTATTTACTTGTTAATGACAAGGTCATTTCACACTCCAGACCAAAAAGGAAAGAAAGACACAGGCCAGTTTTTAGCTCTGAAAAGGCTGAGACCTAATGAGCCAGAAGCAAGGCCTAGTGGGCTGCAGACTCTCCCAAGAGAGAAAAGACACCCGAGAACACATTCCTGATGCTGTGGAGGAACTCTGCTTCCAAACAATGCCCACCTCCCACTTCATCCTCCCTTTCCACCAGCCAAAGATGTCAACTTGAAGGTGAGTGAAAGGGTTGTGGCCCAGACAGGACTCTGTAGTCAGGAAAGCCTCAACCTAAAGCAGGAGCCCCTATCTCCCCCACCTCTAGGAATTTACCTGTGATGTCATCTTCCCGACCCTGGAAATTTACCTATGGCACCAAACCTAGGACCAAAGAGCTACCTGTGCATCCCTAATGCCCCCCTTAGGTTCCACCCCACAACGAGGCTGCTTATGTGCCTCACTGCACGTGTTCTGCAGGAGAGATGGCCAGGGAGGTGCCGGTCATCTCTCTCCATATCCTCAGAAAAAAGGCTGCTTTTTTGTTTTATACTTCTCATCTTTTGGAAAGATTTTTCAGTGAGTACAGTATGAAACTGTTGTTTCTGGTAAACTAGGCACATTTTATATCTTCCCAGTGGATACACTGGGAAAACAGTTGGTGTTTCTGGTACATTATGCACATTATACAACCATTTTTATTATGAAAGGGTTGTTAAGGGGTGCTTTGGGAGGTTCAGAATGCAATATGGGTATTTCCATTCTTTCTCATGGGAAAAATAATCTTGACTTACAAACAGTTTGAGTTACAACCAGCCCTCAGAATGAACGAGTTTGTAAGTCAAGGGTCCACTGCTTGTGGAAACAGGATCCTTTCCATTTATGCTGATAATTAAAGACTGTGCTGATCAGTTTGTTAAGGCAGTAGAGGTAGAAGCTTATTTTTTCAGCATTAAAAAAATGCTTGGAAAGTTCCAAGTACAAACCTGGGTCTGTTATCTGCTGACTAAAATATGGCAGCTCTATTTCCACAGGCTTACCAAGGGGGTGACATTCGGAGCCCTCCCTTTTTCCACCCAGGCCCCAAGGCACGTGTTTCTAGATTACCTGAGTTTTCTCTCAGCAGAACTGATAGGATTATTTCCAAAAGATGAGAAGTATAAAACAAAAGAGGCCTTTATTCTGACAACAAGGAGAGAGAGAATCAGCACCCCTGACTGCTGCAGTCTGGCTTTCTGTCTGCGTGTGCAGTAATAGAAAACAACTCACCTAAGCGTGATATGGGCCATGCGTGAAGAAGGGCTGTTGGCCAACTGGGAAATAGGCTCAACTCACTCCCTAAGTTCAGAGACTCCACATACGCGACAAGAACGTGAGCCTGACTGTATCCTCTTTCCGGAAGTTTCTACAGGGCACCTGGAAGTTGGTTTAGACTATGGAGAGTAGATCGAGAGTGTCTGTGATGATCCTTTGTGATTGCTCCGCCAGTTCTGTTAACGGGTTTCCATTATTTGTGCCCTTCCTTTTCAGCTGGTTGCAGTGTTACCTGAGAATCTCCAGCCCAGGCCTGGAGACTTTTATGGGCTCCCCTGGGAGCCTGTATTGCTCACTACCTGTGTTGGAATCCTTGTGCTTGCGATTTTCTTGTGGAGGAATGTTTTTCCAGTGAGTGAATTAACTTGTTCTTTGACTTCTGAATATATTGAGGATTCTATTATCATTGGCCCTTTCAGTTACAAACATAAACAAATCAGTGGTTATAATTCAAGTTAGTTTTCTGAAATAATTTAATCTTGGTACTAGCAAAGATTTAAGAGCAAAGCTAACCATATCCACTTGTTAGTAGAATTGGTGACTCGTAAAGCCATCCTGAAAAGCAGTTTAATAATTCTATATATCATAAGCCTTTAAAATGGGATACAAAACAGGATAAGAAATATAAATTGCTTTTATATGGTATGATAACATCAGTAAGTGATCTTAAAGAAATACATTACATGTTAAGATTTTATACAAAGGTATTAGATGTAGTATTTAATAGAGTAATAACTTGGTGAAACCTAAATGATCTATATTAGGGAATATCATGTTTCACCTTATTTATATCCACAGAACAGAATATTAGGCTGCTGTATGTATTTCAAAGGCAGGGGGCAAAGAAGGTGTTCACGATTTAATGTGAAGTGGGAAAAGGGGAAACAGACCGTGAGGTACTGATGAACTGTGCTGTAGAAACATACAGGGCAAGAAATACAGTAAGATGGTAGAAACGTCCAGGCAAGATCAGGCAGAGTGGTGTGTGCATTCCTGCAGCCCTGGAGGAGAGGGAGGCTGAGACAGGAGAAGTGCAAGTTTGAGCCCAGCCTGGGCAACTTGGTCACTTAGCAAGAGCCTGTCTCAAGAAAAATGGGAAGGCTGAGAATGTAGTTCATTGTGAAGGCCCTGTCCCAGGTACCACCAAAAACAAGCCCAAAACAGCACCCTATGAAAGATTCCTGTGAGGACTTCTGGAATCTCACCGAACAGCTTCTTGGATGAAAGCACGCCTGGAAGGGTACGCAGAGTGTTTGGGGGTGAAAAGGTGCTGTTTCCCCTGCTCCTCTCCTTTGGTTCCCCTGCAGCTGCTACCCAGCAGGGCTCTCAGGCTCAGACCTGCAGCTTTACACCCTGCCCCTGGGCTCACTTCCTCCCACTCCCTGAGGTCACATGGCTCTGAGGGGACACTCCTGATCCTGGAGAGCACAGTCGCCCTCCCCCCACATGCCCCTCAGCTGGCCACTGCGCTCTGCTGTCCTATACTGTTTATAGCACTCGGAAGGAGAAGACAGAGTCTGCGTTACAGAGAAGTGCAGTGATCGCTGCTGTGGTATTTAATTAGTTGCAGTTTAGGATTTATGACCCCAGAAGGCACTGGGAGGAAGAACTGGGTCTGTGCTCTTCCTGGAAGCCTTTAGCTGTCATTTCTCTGTGTTCTTCTGGTGTCTTCCCTTCTGCTTAGATTTATTACTGTTTTTGTGGTCTGGGGAAATCAGATGATGAGGTGTATTAGATTATTTCTTAATTGAGTCAACAGATCACTTGAAATAGGGTTTCTGAGGTATCTTCCAGTGGGTGAGAGAGGCGTATCTTAGTGCAAAGGTTATGCTGGTAATCTCGCTCACAAGTCTTCCATATGGTCACCCATTTCTAGACTGCATGCTTGCCTTTGGGATTGTCAAGTAATTTTGAGTAAGTAAATCAATAATGTGTGTATTATAAAAACAAGCATTTCACTGTTGAAGCCAAATGCTCATCTCAGAAGCCTGGTGTTCACTTGGTCCTGGCACACAAGCCCGTGTGTAGCTGTGAAGTAAGACACGCTCCTTACTGTTCCTCTGTATCAGAGGCTATTTATAATACGTTTTTAATTGTATGGGTTTATTCTGAACTAAAGTTACTAAATTTTCACTTGGTTATGATCCTGACTTGTGTTAGGAACTATGTATTCCTTTTAATCAAATGTTTGACATCAAATTTCTCTCTTTTTCTTCTAGGTAAAGGAGAGAATATACCAAGGTAAATCTCTTCCTGTTGGTGTTTGGGAGGACTTTTAGGCAGGCTAGGAGCGACAGTGACTTTGGTGTCTGATTTGACTCACTAACTGCTCCACATTTTACTGTTGCTACTAACCATGGTATAGTGGGGAGGGTGATGGTACCGGCTGAGGTAGGAGATGTGGTGCAGGGGTGACTGCTTACTTGGAGCACACAGAGCGTGGCTGGACCACACAGGTGTGGAGAGAGGACAGTGTGTCTGTGCTAGGGACACCTCGGCCCCTATAGGTTTATCGGCACAGGAGCTCGAGAGACAGCAGTGCAGATCTGTAGCCTAAAGTTTCTTTTTCTCGTAGCAAATGACATTCATTTGAAGTGATCCGTTTTCAGAGAACAAGTGCCTTTTGTGAAAGGAGCCTCTCCAACTGTGTAACATTTTACTGTATCTCCTGCCTTTGCAGTAATTGATATCTCCTCAAAACAAGTATTACTATAGTTTTCTTAAAGTTTAACAGTGTCCTGTGCACTGTTGCTGTTAGCTTCGGGTCTCTCTGGACAGGCAGGTAGCTGTGCTAAGCCCTGTCTCTCACAGAGCCTCACAGGTGTCCTTGCTGCTGAGACACTGTGCAGCTCAGTTCCATTTAATGCTCCTAATAACCTGGCTATTTCCTCTTTTTAGTCACCGAACAGCAGATTGCCGAAAAGGTGAAGACTACCACAAAGGACAATGCACAACTTGCAGAAAAATTGTCAAGTTATGAACAGAAGGTAGAACCTCTCACGGGCCCTCCTCTAGCGCGTCTGTGGTGTAGCTCAGTTATTACGGTATTTTGAAGGCCTGTGTTCTCGCTTCATCATTTCCTCTGAGCCCTCCAGATCTTATGCACCATCATGTGTAAAAGGAACGCTCTGCTTGCTTCTTTGGAACAAGGTTTTACTAGCACAGTGACTTCTGTTACTTAGTTCTGAATGTGTTTTTTACATAGATCAATCAATCGCAGAGGCTTCTTCAGGAGACCAAGAATCAGAATAGGATTCTCTCTGAGGAAGCAATTAAATACAAGGTAAAAGTCCTTCTCTTTTGGGGATTATAGTCTAAAAACAAAAGCAAGCATTAATGCGTACTGTTACTTTTAATGTCTTTTCTTCTGGATAAAATCAAGGTGCTTGAAGAAAGCAAGGAATTTCTGGATGATACGGCCCGAACTCTTGGTGATATGTTAGAATGTGAGCGGCAACGCAACATGAAAAATCAGGATTTGGTGAGTTCTGCTGCTGCGTGTTACTACAGGTGTATTATTAGGTATTTCGTGAATCAGTTGAGCTGTTTCCATGCTGTTAACTCCATGAGACTAGGAATAACAGAAGTGAACATGCCTGTACCCACTTTGGGGGACTTTTAGTACTAATTCAGTAGAATGTTTTTATAGGCACGGGAAGTGTTTTGATCCTGAATCTTGGATAATTTCATAGTTGTGTCCTCCAGAACACACAGTCACTCAAAAATTGGTCCAGTTGAGTAATCTGTATAAACTGGTTTTATTTCACAGTGAACTCTGTGCCTTTCGAATAGTCTGCAAATCCCCTAAGCGGAAATGTAGTGAGGAGAGTTCTCATGCTTCCCACCTCCTGTGTGGCCTGGTCCTTTGCTCAGCACACACCTGGTGAATTGCCCATTTTCAGTCCTTTGTGCACCATGCTGTTTGGCAGGAAGTTATGACATACAACCTGCAGTTAAAAGAACGGTGGGTTAGGGTCACCCCTTGAGCCAGTATTGTCATAAATATTGAGAAATTTGGCACATGAGATTTTTCTATTCCCCCAGAAACACTTTTTTTTCTATTGTTTTATTTTGGTTTTGTCTTTTTGAGACTGGGTTCTGTTATGCAGTTCAGGCTGGCTGTGAACTCACCTTGTAGCCTAGGTTGGCCTTAAACTTTCCTGCCTCAGCTTCCTGAGTGCTGGGATTACAGGCATCCTCCACCATACCCAGCATTCTTACCATTTTTAATTCAGACAAGAACATAATTAAAGTGATCTTGGAGCTTTTTTTTTTTTTGGTGCCAGGGATCAAACTCACGTTTCAGTGCTTGGCGGGCAGGCATTTAATGCTGCTGAGCTAAATCTCCAGACCTTTTGGGGCTTGTTTTCCTGACACCAGAAAAAGCTGTTCATTTTCCGTGGTTTGCTTGAACATTTCTTTATTCTATGTCATGTGGTTACCCCAAAGCTTGAGGGTGCCATGAAACTCTTGACTTCAGTTTTTTCTCTCAGCTCTTTAAGCAGATTTTTTCCCCAGACCACGTTTAATCCCGATTTTACCTAAAACATAGTGGATAGTTTGGGGTACCTTGTAGTAACGTTTTTGTTCTTTAGCATATGTATCAGTGTTTCTCCCAAAGTCCTAATGCGTTCTGTGTATTCCTTGCTTCCGTGGCAGGTCCTGGAAAATGAGAAATCTGTGGAGAAGCTAAAGGAGGTTATTTCAATGAATGCCTCAGAATTTTCCAAGGTAAGGCTGCCCACACTCCCTGCCGGTGTCAGTGTCGAGACTCAGCTGCATGGAGCAGTGGTGACCTGATGAGTGCTGAGAGCCATGGAAGGCAGAGGCCGTGCATGATTGAGGGGCAGGGCTGGGGCCCCCTCCCTGGTGCGGCTCGTGAACAGTCGTGTTGTGCGTTAGCTTCAGGTCGCCCTGAATGAAGGCAAGTTGAGTGAGGAGAAAGTGAAGTCTGAGTGCCACCAGGTTCAGGAAGAAAACACAAGGCTGAAGAAGAAGAAGAAAGTGCAGATTTTGTAAATGTTTGGTCAGAGTGGGTGCAAAACCCAGCAACTTTAGTTCTGTCATCTTTTCTCATGAGGAGCTGCTTATGCAGGCCCCTGCAGCAAGCTGGGGAGCATCGAGTCTGTCCTCCCCAGCTTGCACCTTACTGAGGGCACAGGCTCCTTTTGTGTTTCTCGTGGATTTTCAATTCTGTAAATTGATGGCAGTTCTTGGCCCTTGTCTTGTTAGATACTAGTCATTACTTTGGCCTCAGCAAGGCCAGGGGTTGGCTTTTTAAACCTCAGATTTAAGGCTTTGCTAAGCCTCCTCTAACAGTTACTGCCTCACATTGGCCATAGGAAGGTTAGATCAGGGATCTGTGATCAACACACACACACTGAGGCCAGAAATCCCACAGCTAGCTGCCGGCAGTTCCCATGTGAATGGGTTATGTTCCTGCTAGGGGGATACACAGGATAGTCCCATTAGGTGGTAAGGACAGTCCTGCATGCCCTGCAGCGGTTCATGCCAGTGGGAATATGTTAAGCCCCAGCAATACATGCCCACGAATGCCACCTGGAAGTCAGGCATTTGAGTCAGCAAGCATTTTTCGGAAGGACTTGATGGATGGGGTCAGCTTCGTTGACAGCTCAGGGTGGAAGTCACACTCTGCAGTCCTGAACCAAGTCTTAGCCTCTGCGATGGGACAAGGAGGGACAGGACTCCTGCTTCCCCATCCCACTTGCATGGTCCTGTGCCTCTGTGGAATCCCCAGTCCGCAGGGACCCTTCCATGTGACTTTCAGCTACAGCAGGAAGTTGAAGACCAGAAGAAGCTGAACGCTAAACTCAGCCAGCGAATCAGGTCGTTGGAAAAGTCTCAGAGGGATCTGGAAGCCACTCTCCATGATAAGGATGATAGCATTGGTGTAAGTTACCCCAGCCGGCCCAGCCTGATCATGAACACTTGGAAAACAAACCCACTGTGAGGATGGAGAGGCTCTTAACTTCTGCTCACTTCTCTGCTAGGCTCTGAACACTGCATCATGCAGCTGAACCGGTTGGAGGAGAGGGGATCGGAATCTGAGGGTCCAGGTCCAGGCAGATGTGAGCCAGGTGAATTAGCCAAAGGAGAAGTGTGAGGTAAGACCAGCCCTAGCCCAAGGGCCCCTTTTTTTTTTTTTTACCAGGGATCTAAATCATGACCATGCACTCACCAGGCAGGTGCTTGTGCCACTGAGCTAAGTCCCCAGCCCTTCAAGGGCCCTTTTTTGTCTTCTTCTCTTTATTGTTATTTTAGACAAGGTCTCTCTGTAATGGCTGGCCTTGAAATCACTGTGTAGCCCACACTGGCCTCAAACCCACAGCAAAATTTCTACCTCAGTCTCCTAAGTATTTTTGTCTTTAAATCCATACATGGATACTGCTTCTCAGCTGAGTTTCTTCTTGCCCCGACTGACCCATGCAGCTCTTTAGGTTCTTAGTGTGAAGGACCACAAGAGGATGAGAAAATAGACAAATCTGGGGTCAGGTGGAGCCCTTACCCTCCTCATGGGAAGAAAGGAACTGGCCCCTCACTACAGGGGCGTTTATACATTTTAGCAACTTAATGTCATGTGACACCCTGTTGTCCTAGCAGCCCACTCTTCAGATTGTCTTGGGGCTTGGTGATCTCTGGGCTGAGGCAACTTCTTCACATGGCAACCCCAGGGACTCTTTGTTCTTGGGCCAGCCATGCCCTGGCCCTGCATGTGTTGTCAGTTTGCAGCTTCAATGGCTCCCAACATCTGCATAATTCATACTTATGTCTGGGTCACTGGGGTGCAGTAGCAACAGGCAAGTGGGGAAAGCTGCTTTTCCACCCCTTGAGAACTGGATGTGTACGCTGGAGCCTTTGCCTTTGTGTCAGCCTCTGTGCCAGAGAAGACACTCACTCAGGTTTCTGGAGATGACACACGGGTCCGTACTCATGGCCTCTGCTGTTCTGTGGTTCTCAGGCACTTGGCCAGGGTCACCTAGAGTGTGGGGATGGGGAGCCACAGCCCAGGCTGTGAGGGCAGAGGCTGGAGAATAGCAGGGTCTGAGATGAGGAAAGTGGTCAGGGTGCCACCCCAGCTGCAGAGGCTGCTCATAGTGTGAGTCTGGACACACGCAGGCCAGATCCCCCTAGACCATCATGAGGCAGAGCTAGGCTGTTTGCTCAGCCACAGGCCAGGTGGCATGCTGTCTTGGCAGGAGCTCACAAAATCTAAGGGTGCAGTTGTCATGAAAGTCAGTGTGTCAGTTCTGTTGGTGAATTGCTTTTCTTTACAGTGTTTGATGAGCATTAGTTTGGTTTTGTGGAAGTCAACAGTGTTAGAAACGGCACAGGAAGACACAGCCACACTTGTTCTCTTTGTAGGTGGGGAGAGTAAGATCAAGGCTCACATGCACTGGCTGATGGATGTCTCCCAGGTGAGTCCCTTCACAGAGCCTCCCAGGGGCCCGTGAGTCCTGACTGAGCCTTACTTTCAAGCCTGTGCCTCTCCCTCACAATTTTCAGACACATCCCACAATATCCGTATTTCAGAAAGATCTCCAACTCCTGCAGTTGAAGCTGAGAACCTCCCTGTCTGCCAAATGTGATCTGGAAGGTAGGTCCCTGACCGCATGGTGGTCAGGCTGAGTGCCGGCATGAATGAGGCAGGCATGCTGGGAGCCTGGTTCTGTGTCTTTGGCAGTGCCCTTGGTGACGTGTCTCACCTCCCAGACCAGATCGTGAAGCTAGGTGAGGACTGCGGCAGGCTGCAGGCGGACAAGGGCCGGCTGGAGGAGGAGTTTAGCATGCTGCAGCAGAAGGTGGAGGTCCTGAAGGAGCTGTCCCACCAGAAGGAGCTGGAGCTGCAGAAGTGAGTCCCAGAGATTTTGCCCAGTGTCTCATGCTGGCCATTCCTGTCACTTCTGATTGCCTAGCAGCTTTGATGTGCAGTGATCATAGAGGAAACTTGGGGCCCAGGGTCCTTCTGGTTTCCTGTGATGGCGACCTGAGGCTGCTCCTGCCTGTCCGCCGTCACCTTCATCCAGCTAGCAGTTGGGCCCAGCGTCCCTGCCTCTGTAGCCTCAGCTCCACTGCTTGTTTCTTAAAGCCTAGGGATTTGTCGAGGGCTCAGTGCAGCATCTTTGGCATTGTCCCCCATGTGTGGGTTGAAGGAGGGCAGCACTGGCCTCTGGGGCCCACATTTCGCTTTCTGGCTGGGGCCAAGGCTCCCGTCCACCCATTCGGCCTATCTTGTGTGCTTATCATGGCCTAGGTCTAGAGGAACAGCTCTTCCCTGACAGTATGGGGGAAGGGTGGGTAGACTCCGCCTATTGCTTTCCCAGCAGCTCTGCTGGACAATCCTGGCTTCCCTCGGGGTACACTCATCTCCCACACAGGCAGCTAGAGCCTGGCGCATGCTGTGCTCTTAGCTTGTTCTGTTTGCTGATTAGACAATTACAAGGAGAGGTGAGAGAATATAAGAACACAAGCAAATGGCCCAGAGCCTGGAGCTTGACTGCCCTCCTGAAACCCTGTGCCTGCTGCCGGGTGGGGAAGTGGCCTGTGGGCCAAGTTCAGCCCTGGCAGCTACCTTTCTCCTAGGATATTGAGTCATGCGGAATGTGCACAGCAGCAGCGAGAGCAGGCGCTGTCGGCTGTGGATGAGAAGGTGTTGCCGGCCACAGAGGAGGTGAAAACCTACAAGTGAGTGTGGCGTCCGAGACAGAGGAACTGGGCTGAGTTGCTTTGTTATATAGAAGAGATGGGCACAGAAGCACATGAGAAGCCCAAGAATGGAATGTATTTAACTCACACGGGGAGGGCTTTTACATTAACAGACCAAGGCTTGTTAACAGCGAAGCTCCTTTACAGATGTGTCCTGTGCCCATTTTTAGGAAATTGGCCTGCTTCTGTCACACATCCACACCCACCAGAGTCTCAGTGCTCCGACAGACCGGGGGCAGCATTTTGAGTCATTTCTTGTGGCTATAATTTGAGGGGAAAACCTTTTTTTTTTATCAGTACTGGGGATCAAACTTAGGACCGCCCGCTTGCAAGGCAGGTGCTTATGCTGCTGAGCTAAATCCCCAGCCTCTGATGGGAAAACTTTATGGGGAAGGTAGCCTTAGCCAGATTATTTTGAGAATGTTATTCAAGGACAGTTAAGGAAATTGACAAGTTGTCAACTCATAATCTCTAGGCATTAAATGAAAAATCAGGAAACTGAGGTTCACACTGCACTCATCACATTATGAAATGTTTCTGTATGATGAAGTCTTTAAAGGTCAGACATGGTCAGATTGTTTCAGAATTTATTTGATTCTAACTGCTAAGTATTATTTTTAGGTGGCGAATCGGTGAGGTGGAAGCAGAATTAGAGAAAATGGAGCGCTCATTTAAAAACCAGGCAAGGAATAGAGTGCGCTATGGTGACAGCATCCGTTAATCCCCCACACAGGAGTCATGGAGGGCTGCAGCCCCGGTGACTGGTCCCTCAACCTGCTTCTTGCCCTGTTCTCTTGCAGCTTGCTACTGAGAAGAAAAAAGCCCATGAGAACTGAATAAGAGCCTCCTCCTCCTGGCCTTGCCTCGCCCTCTCCAGCTTCACTCAGCCACTGTGCTGAGCTGGCCTCTCTGTCTCCACAGCTCAAAGCCCGAAATGCAGAGTGCCTGGTGGCAGATGAAAAGCGGCAGGCCGCCAACCTGTGGCAGAGGTTAGCAGCGCTTGGCTCGATGAGTGGCGCCCATGTTTCAGCCCACTCAGGGTGGCTATGGCCACCCCCAGCCCTACTGTGTCTGTGTGCAGGCTGGTGGAAATTACCCAGAAGCTGGATATGCTTAAAGAGGAGCCTGGGATCATTAAGTGGATGCCGGACTGTCCTGGAGTGCAGAATGTGCCCCACAGAGGTGGGCACTCTGTCCTTCTGAGTGGGGCTTGGGGAACTTAGCCACTGCAGAGAAGTGGTAACCAGCGCATGTGTTGTCTCCGCAGGTCCCCTGAGCAAGAAGGGCTCCTTTGGCCCATCCCCTGTGAGTGGCGGTGAGTGCTCCCCACCCCCAGGCGCAGAGCCCCCTGGATGGCCGCCATCTGCGAGCCTGAACTTGGCATGCCGTGACATTGCGAGAGCCGACTTCGGTGAGCCTCTCCAGGGCCTCTAGTCCTGGACTCAGGGACACCATGCTGCCTTGCCCTGGGCATGGTTCCCTGAGCTCTGGTACAGAGCCCAGGCACTCCCGGCTTGGGTTTCCACTTAGCCCTGGGCCCTGTGCAGGCCCACCTCCATTGCAGTGCAGGAGCAGGGTCCTGGGAGCAGTCGCCCACCCCATCACTCCCAACCCTCTCTGGCTGTGGCATTGCAGAGGCTGCAGTGTCACCCTCTCCCTCTCTGCACAGTGTTCAATGAGTGGGCGCACTTTTGTCACCACTCACCTCCGGGCCACCAGGGACGGCTCCTGAGCTAGGCAGGTCTGAATGTTACTGGTTCTGTGTGCTGCTCCCAAATCATATGGCGGCTGTGTGCGGGCTCAGTCTTCTGTGGCCCTGTCTTCCTCCTCCACAGCCTGAGACCTAAAGCAGCCTCCACCTCTGGCTTGGGTTGCCACAGCGCAGCTTTCCCAGCTCCCCAGGTCTGTGAAGTGCTGACCAGGTGGAGCCCGCGCAGGCTCAGAGGCCTCCTTCGACAACCCCACCCCCACCCCCACTTGACGCCTGCTCAGTGAGCCTGGTACCTCTGGCTCCACTCCAGGGCTCCCTGGCCTCCTGCCTCCCACGGGCCTTGCAGCTGCCTGTCAGAGGCAGCCATGCCTCTGCTCCCTCCAGGGACAGTCCGCAGGGCTCTGCAGTGTTCCCGAGGGCACTTCTGAGGGCGTGCCCGTGGCCTCTTCCGGTTCTCGTCCTCATCCTTGTCCTGGTCCCCGACCTCATCCCTGCCCTCGTCCTCATCCTCGTCCTCGTCCCCAACCTCATCCCTGCCCTCGTCCCAGTCCTCGTCCTCGTCCTGGGAAAGTCCTCTGAGTGCCTTCTCTGCCCCCAGATCCCAGCCCTGGCCCTGTGGCCAACAGCAGCTCCCGTGGCTCCTCCCCAGAGAAGGACATGGACAACGCCAAGGTGAGCCTAGAGCCCGTGCCTTGGCCCCTGCTGCTCCATGGGCCTTCGGTTTCCCTGCTGTTTTCCAGCTGGCCTGGGCGTGGTGACCCCACTGACTAAGTCACCATCTGACTGGGGCCTTCACTAAGGCTGGGGCCACGTGCTGAGTGCTGGAGCAAAGCACACCTCATGTCCCTGACTTGAGTGTTTGGTTTGGTACTTATTTTGAGTCTGGGTTTCCTTATGTAGGTCAAGTCCAGCTTGACACAGTACCCAGTACTGTGAGTACTGTACCCAGAGCCCACCTGCAGTTCCCTAGCAGTCCTCCCGCCTCAGCCTCCCGAGTGCGGGATGACCGGTGTGCATCGCCACACTCGCGTGTTCTTGATTTTTGGGAGCAGCTGTTGGGGTCCTCAGGGTCTGTTCTAGGCAGACCCCTTGCAATGATCGGGATGAGCTGGGCGTGGGCCTTTCCAGGAGTGGGAAGCTGGTTCCAGGGCCCTTGAATCTGACCCTGGTCGGCCCAGGCTGCTGTGCCTCCTGGGTCCTGAGGCTGCTGCCTTGGCAGCCTTCGCACCACATGGGGCCACCTGCAATGGTCAGAGCTCCATGGACTGCCTTCCAAGCAGCCCAGACACAGGCGCCTCCGCCAGCCCCTCCCTGTGCAGTGTAAACTGGCCGAGGCAGCTTCCTGTTCTCCCCAGCTACCCCGGGACCCTGGGAGCCCTTGTGTCGCCCCTGTCGTGCCCAGGGCCACGCTCATGCTGGCAAGAGTACTGGCGCAGCGCCCCGCTGGCACCTCTGGAGCACATCTCCACATGCGAGTGGTCACAGCGTGGTGACCATGCTCGCTGCGTGGCGTGCTGCTCACGAGGGCCTGGCAGGGTCCAGGGATCCCTTGACTCTTCTCGGGACGGGCACCCGTTGTCACTGCCGAGCTCGCAACTGGGCCTGCTTCTGTTCGCAGGTGAGCATGGCCGTGAAGGGGCCCCCAGCCCATGCAGGGCCCCCATTCCTGGGAGGCCCCATGCCGCCCCACATGGGATATGGGTCGCCGACGCCACCACCACTCTGCAGGCCCTTCGGGCCTCGGCCGATGCCTCCTAGGCAACCGCCACCATTCGGTACGGTAGGACACTTGGGCCAGCACCACCGCCTACCCTGTCCTCTCGCCCACCCTGTCCTCTCTCCTCTCCTGTCCTGATCGGCAGCTGCAGCCCACCAGACTCGAAGCATGAGGCCCAGCACTCTGAGCCCAGTGCAGCCTCCACAGCTGCTTGGACCAGAAGGGCCCTTCCGGCAGAGCGAAAGCCAGTCTCAGCCGGGTGGTCACCTGGGACGCCACAGGCCGCCGGCAGTGGGAGAAGGGAGGGTCAGGCTGTGGTTGAGCCTTACTGAGCCTCAGTTTTCCTTATCTGTGAAGTCCAGTGCATCACTCGACTTCCTGGCACAGGGGAAGGGAAATGCTTTCAGCAGACCTGGGCTGCTCCTCAGGACGTGTCCACATGTCCCTCTTGCCTTCCAGTCGCACGCATGGGCCCACCACTGGGCTTAAGAGACTATGCGCCCTTCATGCTGCCCAGATGCCATGACCTGCCACGACATTCCCGCGAGTTCTTGCCGGGACTTGTGCCATTCAGGCCTCCAGGCCCGCTCGGCGCCCGAGCGTATTTCATTTCGGATCCGCCAATGCCACCACCACCGGCTGGACTCCAAGACTACTGACCACTGCCTGCCGGGCCCCAGAACAAGCCACCACCACCTGCCCAGCCCCAGGACAACCCACCGACGCCTTCCGGGCCCCAGAACAACCCACCTATGCCTGCAGGGCCCCAGGACAACCCACCACTGCCGCCGAGCGCCAGGACTACCTACCACCGCCTGCCAGGCGCCAGGCCTACCCACCACCACGTGCCGGGCGCCAGGCCTACCCACAACCACGTGCCAGGCACCAGCACTACCCAGCACCGCCTGCCAGGCCCCAGGACTACCAACCACAACGTGCCGGGCCCCAGGACTACCCACTGCCGCCTGCTGGGCGCCAGGCCTACCCACCACCACGTGCCGGGTGCCAGCACTACACACCACCGCCTGCCGGGCCCCAGGACTACCCACCGCTGCCTGCCGGGCTCCAGGAATACCCACCGCCACCTGCCAGGCCCCATGACTATGCACTGCCGCCTGCCAGGCCCCAGGACTATCCTCCGCCGCCTGCCAGGCCCCAGGACTACCCTCCGCCGTCTGCCAGGCCCCATGACTATGCACCGCCGCCTGCCAGGCCCCAGGAAGACCCAGCACCACGTTCCGGGCCCCAGGAATACCCACCACTGCCTGCCAGGCCCCATGACTACAAACCGCCGCCTGCCAGGCCCCAGGACTACCCAGCACCAAGTTCCGGGCCCCAGGAATACCCACCGCCGCCTGCCAGGCCCCATGACTACGCATCGCCACCTGCCGGACCCAGGACAATCTCTCCCCCCCGGCCTGCCAGGTCAAAGGACCACCCATCAACATGTTCTGGGCCGCAGTATTATGCACTGCTGCCTGCCAGGCCCCATGACTATGCACCGCCGCCTGACGGGTCCCAGGAGTATCCTCCGCCACCTGCCAGGCCCCAGGACTACCCACCACCACGTGCCGAGCCTCAGGAATGTGCAACGCCGCCTGCTAGGTCCCAGGAGTACCAACTGCACGAGTTGAGCCCCAGGACAACCCACAACCATGTGCCAGGCCCCAAGAATACCCACCACCATGTGCCGGGCCCCAGGACAACCCACAAACATGTGCCAGGCTCCAAGAATACCCACCACCACGTGCCAGGCCCCAGGACTACCCACTAACACATGCTGGGCCCCAGGACTACCCACCACCACATTCCTGGTCCCAGGACTACCCACCACTGCCAGCCATGTCTCAGGAATGCCAGCCACCACGCACTGGGCCCCACGACTACCCACCACCACCAGCCGGGCCTCAGGAATGCAAACCACCACGTGCCAGGCCCCAGGACTACCTGCTGCCTCCTACCAGGCACCAACATTAACCACCGCCGCCTGCCGGGCCCCAGGACTACCCACCACCACCTGCCGGGCCCCAGGACTGGCCACCGCCACCTGCTGGGCCCCAGGACGACCCACCACGACCTGCCAGGCCCAAGGACTACCCACGACCATCTGCTGGGCCAAAGACAACCCATTGCCACCTGCCGGGGCCGAAGACTACCCACCAGCGTCTGCCAGGCCCTAGGACTAGCCTCAGCCACCTGCCGGGTCCTAACTGTCCAAAACTGCCTGCCCGGCCCCAGGACTACCCACCACCGCATGCTGGGCCCCAGGACTACCCACCGCCTCCTGCCGGGCCCCAGGAATACCCACCGCCATCTTCCGGGCTCCAGGACTACCCACTGCCGCATGCTGGGCCCCAGCACTACCCACTGCCAACTGCTGGGCCGCAGGATAACCCACCTCTGCCTGCCGGGGCCTAGGACTGCCCACCAACGATGCTGGGCCCCAAGACTGCCCACCACTGCCTGCCGGGCCCCAGGACTACCCACCGCTGCCTGCCAGTTCCCATGCCACTCACCAACAGGTTCTGGGCCCCAGGACTAACCATTACTGCCTGCTGGGACCCAGGACTACCCACTGCCACCTGCCAGGACCAGGACTAGGCAGATCCATGTGCCAGGCCCCAGGATTAACCGCCGCGCCTAGCCATGCCCCAGGACTAACCTCCACCGCATCCTGGGGCCAAGCACAACCCACCACCACCTGCCGGGGCCAAAGACTACCCACCACTGCCTGCCAGGCCCTAGACTAGCCACCACAATGTGCCAGACCCCAGGACTACCCACCGCTACCTGCCGGGCCGCAGGACTCCCCACCACTGCCTGCCGAGCCCAAGGACTACCCAGCACTGCCTGCCGTACCCAGGACTCCCGACCACTGCCTGCCAGGCCCCAGGACTATTCACCACCACGTGCCGGGGCCCAGGATTAGCCACTGTCATCTGCCAGACCGAAGGACTTCCAACCGTCGCCTTCCAGGCCCCAGGACTACCAACCGCCACCTGCAGGGCCCCAGGACTAGCCACTGCCGCCAGCCACCACCACGTGCCGGGCCCCAGGACTAGCCATTGCGGCTTGCCGGGCCCCAAGACCACCCACCTCCACCTGCCGGGGCCGAAGACTAACCACTGCCGCCTGCCAGGTCCTAAGACTAGCCACAGCAACCTGCCGGGCCCCAGGATTACCCTCTGTCGTGTGCCAAGCCCCAGGACTCCCCATCACCCTGGGAGGGGCCTGAGGACCACCCACCGCTGCGTGCAGGGCCCCAAACTACCCACCACCATGTTACAGGCCCCAGGATTACCCACCGCCGCCTGCCAGGCCCCAAGACTGCCCACCACTGAATGGGGGACCCCAGGACTACCCACCCCCGCCTGCCGGTCCCCAGGACTATCCACCCCCGACTGCCGGAACCCAAGTCTACCTCTGCCGCCTGCTGGGCCCCAAACTACCCATCGCCACCTGCCGGGCCCCAAGACTACCCATCACCACCTGCCGGGCCCCAGGACTACCCATCACCACCTGCTGGGCCTCAGGACTCCCGACCGCCACCTGCTGGGACCCAGAATGACCCACCACCACCTGCCGGGCCCAAGGACTACCCACGACCATCTGCCAGGCCCATGACAACCCACCGCCACCTGCCAGGGCCGAAGACTCCCCAACTCCACCTGCCAGGCCCTAGGACTAGCCACAGCCACTTGCCAGGCCCCAACTGTTCAAAACTGCCTGCCAGGCCCCAGGACTACCCATTGCTGCCTGACGGGCCCCATGACTATGCACCTCAGCCTGCCGGGCCCTAGGAATACCCCTCGCCATCTGCTGGGCTCCAGGACTACCCACTGTCGCATGCTGGGCCCTAGTACTACCCACCGCCAACTGCCAGGCCCCAGGACTACCAACCCCCACCTGCCGGTCTCTAGGACTACCCACCCCCGGCTGCCGGAACCCAAGTCTACCTCCGCCACCTGCCAGACCCCAGTATTAGTCACCACCATGTGCCAGGCCCAATGACTACCCACTGCCTGGTGCCGGGACCAAGACTAGGCAGAACCACGTGCCAGGCCCCAGGACTATCCAACACCCCCTGCCAAGCCCCAGGACTACCCTCCAATGCTTCCCAGGGCCCAGCACAACCCACCACCACCTGCTGAGGCCGAAGACTACCCACCACCGCCTGCCAGGCCGCAGGATAACCAACCTCCGCCTGCCAGGGCCTAGGACTGCCCACCACTGCCTGCCAGACCCCAGGACTACCCACCGCTGCCTGCCAGTTCCCATGCCACCCACCACCACGTTCTGGGCCCCAGGACTACCCATTGTCACCTGCTGGACCCCAGGACTACTCATTACCGCCTGCTGGGACCCAGGACTACCCACTGCCGCCTGCCGGGAACAGGACTAGGCAGATCCAGGTGCCAGGCCCCTGGACTAACTGCCGCCCCCTGCCAAGCCCCAGGACTACCCTCCACCGCCTCCCGGGGCCCAGCACAACCCACCACCACCTGCCAGGGCTGAAGACTACCCACCACTGCATGCCAGGCCCTAGACTAGCCACCACCATGTGCCAGGCCCCGGACTACCCACTGCTACCTGCCGGGCCGCAGGAATCCCCACCACTGCCTGCGGGGCACCAGACCTACCCACCACCATGTGCCGGGCGCCAGCACTACCCACCACCGCCTGCCAGGCCCGAGGACTATGCACCGCAGCCTGCAGGGCCCCAGGACTACCCAGCACCACGTTCCGGGCCCCAGGACTACACACCGCCGCCTGCCTGGCCCAGGACTACCCAGGACCACATTCCGGGCCCCAAAAATATCCACCTCTGCCTGCCATGCCCCATGACTATGCACCGCCCCCTGCCGGGCCCCAGGACTATCCTCCACCGCTTGCCAGGTCCCAGGACCACCCAGCACCAAGTGCCAGGCCCCAGGACTATGCACCACCGCCTGCCAGGCCTCATGACTATGCATCGTCGCCTGCCAGGCCTCATGACTATGCACCGCCACGTGCCAGGCCCCAGGACTGCCCACCGATGCCTGCCGGGTCCCAGGATTACCCACCTCAGCCTGCTGGGGCTCAGGGCTCCCCACCACAACCTGCCAGGCCTCAGGACTAGCCACCGCCACCTCCCGGACCCTGGACTACCCACTGATGCCTGCCGGGCCCCAGGACTACCCGTTACCTCTTGTCGTGCCCCAGTACTACCCACTGTTGCCTGCCGGGACCAGGACTAGGCAGAACCACGTGCCAGGCCCCAGGACTACTCACCGCCCTCTGCCAAGCCCCAGGACTACCCTCCACCACCTCCCGGGGCCCAGCACAACCCACCACCACCTGCCGGGGCCGAAGACTACCCAACACGGCCTGCCAGGCCCTAGGACTAGCCACCACCACATGCTGGGCCCCAGGACTACCCACTGCTACTTGCCGGGCCGCAGGATTACCCACCTCCGCCTGTCAGGGCCTAGGACTCCCCACCGCAGCCTGCCAGGCCCTAGACTAGCCACCACCATGTGCCAGAACCCAGGACTATCCACCGCTACCTGCCAGGGCCCAGGATTAGCCACTGTCACCTGCCGGGTCCCAGGACCACCCACCGCCATCTGCCGATCTCCAGGACTACCCACTGCCGCATGCTGGGCCCCAACACTATCCACCGCCAACTGCCGGGCCCAAGGACTACCCACCGCTGCCTGCTGGAACCGAGGACTACGCAAAACTGCCTGCCGGACTGAAGGACTATCAACCATCGCCTGCCAAGCCCCAGGACTACCCACCACCCTGGCATGGGCCCGAAGACCACCCACCGCCGCCTGCCGGGCCCCAGGAATACCCACCCCTGGATGCTGGGCCCAAGAACTACCCACCGCCGCCTGCCGGCCCCCAGGACTACCGACCCCCGCATGCCGGGCCCCAGGACTACCCACCACCCTGGGAAGGGCCTGAGGATCACCCGCTGCCGCCTGCTGGGCCCCAAAATACCCAGCACCAGGTTCCGGTCTCCAGGACTACCTGCCGCTACCTGCCCGGCCCCAACACTAACCACTGCTGCCTGCCGGGCCCCAAGAGTCCCCACCGACGCCTGCCGGGCCCCAAGAGTCCCCACCGACGCCTGCCGGGCCCCAAGAGTACCCACCGACGCCTGCCGGGCCCCAAGAGTACCCACCGGCACCTGCCAGGCCCAAGGAATACCCACTGCCTCCTGCCAGGCCCCAGACCACCCAGCACCGCCTGCCGGGCCCCAGGACTACCCAGCACCGCCTGCCGGGCCCCAGGACTACCCACCACAACCTGCTGGGCCCCAGGACTACCCACCACCGCCTGCCGGGCCCCAGGACTACCCACCACAACCTGCTGGGCCCCAGGACTACCCACCACCACCTGCTGGGGCCCAGCACTACCCACCACCGCCTGCTGGGCCCCAGGAGTACCCACCACCGCCTGCTGGGCCCGAGGACTACCTGCCGCCACCTCTCGGGCTCCTTTTGTCTCCTATGGGTGTGCGCTTATTTCTAGGACTCATAAAAGTTCTCTCCAGTTAACTTTAGCCTCGATGTTTCCTGATTTGCCCCCAACTACAGATTAATGTAATGTACTTGTATTGCACAGTTATTTCTGGATAGTGGAATGACTTGTTCTGTTTTTTTTAAATTTTAGCATCAGGTTTCACTGTTTTTCCTAGGCCAGTCTCAAACCCCTGGGCTCAAGTGATCCTTGAGTGCTTTAGCTGCCTGAGGAGCTGGGATTGCAGACCTCACAACCAGTAACTATTTTTTGAAAAATTTCAGTGATGTAAAAATATGTTCAGCAGCAACAAAAGAGTGTAAGCGCTGGCCTCTCTCTGCTGGGATAAGTGCACTGCTGCACCAGAGACGGGGAGGGCAAGTACCAAGCAGATGCCTGTCACCTCCTCAGTACGGAAGGAGTGCTCAGGGCTGGAGGCTGCTGGGCTGCACCTGCTTCCTTGTCCCCACTAAAGATGCCCTGAAGGCCTGGTGCACCCATGGGCCTGGGATCAGAAGCCTCAGGGACAGGAGGGTGGGAAGACAGAGCACAGGGCTCAGCCAAGGAGGTAAGGGCTTGACAACATTCACAGGGCAGAAGCCCTTGGCAGGGAGACTGTGTGGTTCTGGTCAGCACCCCAGAGTCAGAAGAACAGCAAGACGAGCTAGAGGCTGGGGCGAGCAGATGGGGGACACGGAGAGAACAGGGCCTTGTCACACACAGACACACACACACACACACACACACACACACACACAGACCAACTCCTGGCAAGGAAGGGAACTGCCGCATACCCCACACAGGGCTCATGAAAGTGTGCATGCCAAAGAAAAGGCTGTCACAGTAAATTTGAAGAGAACAAAAGACAGACAATCTCCCAAGCAAGGGTGCAAATTACAAAAAAGGAAAAGCAAACTATTTTCAGTAAACTCATCAGAAATGGTTAGTGATGGAGCAACATTTCTTGCAGAAATTCTGCCTCATTGTAAAGTGGATTAAAATGAGTTGTCATAGATACAAGACATGCCTCAAAACAGTGCGGTAAGTTAGGAGAAATGTGAGAGAGGGAAAACCCAACTTGTTACCCTTTATGCTGACTGTAATGTAAGGATCCATGCACTGCCCGGCATCCTTCAGGCCACTCTTCTCGATTGTGATGGTAAACAGTGTCGTGCCCGGCTCTGAGGGCAGCCGTGGTACTAAAGTACCTGGCAACAAGGAAGCCCCAGTAAATGCCAGCTCTGCCAACAGTTTCACAGTAAATCCTGTCAGCAAACACGGAAATATTCTACCGGCTCTCAATCCATAACCAGGCAAGCACGGTGCAGTCTGGCCTGCAAGCCTCCTGCACGCTGTTCTTCTTTGCAGATGTATTTTATACACAGCAGTGACGTACACGTCCACATCTCATCACCCTAAGGCAGACATCAATTCAAGTTCAATCAAGGAAAAGTCAGGTGAAAACTTCCAGTAGGTCAAGGAAGCCAGTTATAAATAACCGCAGAATAGCTACGGTGTCCTCTTGCATGTACCTGGGGACATGCCATAGGTTTTACATCTCAGCATTCGGTAGGGTGAGGAAGATGCTTTTTAAATAGTTTGCTGTCCTGCAGTCTCAGAGACTCAGTCAGATCAACACATCCTTTAGTTGCCGTGATAAAGAACGTCATTTGAAGTTTACCAGTTATACTTAGTTAGGCCTTTTCCGTCCCATTTCTCTTCTCTTTGTCCTGTTCTGTCTGACGAAGCTCACAGAGGTTCCTGCCACAGAGAATGTCACACGACACCACAAAAGCAATTTGTGTGTTTGAGATCTTCGGATGGCTGTGCCAATTGGGATGCCAGCAACATTACAGACTGGATCAGGAAAATCTCCACAAACCAGGGACTACTTTCCAGAACATGTGGTTAGCTTAGCACATGTATCAAGGTAGTTCACATTAGCAGATGAGGAGAAAAAATTTTGTAATCTTGTCAACAGAGGCAAAAAAAGTCTTCAATTAAGTCTTAAATATTATTAGTGAGTTTTGTTTCCTTTTGTCACTTTTTGAGACAAGGTCTCACTGTGTAGTCCAGGGTGGCCTCAAACTCCTGGTAATACAGGCAATAAAAATTCATTATCCTAGAACCAAACTGCATAATAATGTGGGCACAGCTTAGTCATCACTGAAACCCTGAGTCCTCCCTCAGAGAAACAATGCTTTCCTCTATATGATTAAGCTAGATGTTACATGTTCTCTTGCTGTTCAATGTCATTTCTGTTCTGTTTTTCAGTGTTTACAGGTACGTCAGTGTTGTACACAGTACACTCATCGTGGGAGCTGGCACACATACCAAACAAGCTGATTCCTCTTCAGTCTTCCCTGCCCTCCCTCCTGATGACACTTTCAATGACTAGAATTTTACAAGTTTTTTTCCAGTGAGGCTTACAGCCCAGGACAGCATGGTTCCAAACCAAGTACAGTCAATTAAATGGCACATTCTCTTTCTTACTCTGAGAGGAGAAAAAATTCACACTAAAAGGGTTCAATGAGCTTCTTGTATCTCTAAAATGAAACAGCAAATACCATACAGAGCACAAACATCTCAACTGAACTTGCATTTAACTTTATACAGTCAGTGGATTTCATTCAACTCAGCAGCCCCAGCCACATACAGAGCACACCTCTGCATCTCCTGACTTAGCTCTGCTGCTCTAAGGGCTGCGTTTTCCATGGAGCTACGGCAAGGAAGCAAACGGCCAGGCAGGTGGGAGTTTATACAGCTGCAGCTGCACGCGCTGCGGTATAGTCTGCAAAGCAGACTGGCAACATACATGACCTCCACTTAAACACATATAACATGGACAGGAAGAGTAAGTTCTAGTTCTAGTCTTTCACAGCACATATATTGTATAAACATCTAAAAGGGAGAAGTTGGATGGTTCCCTGCACAAACAAATGACCAAGGGGCTACAACTGCTAAATATTTCAATTTGATGGCTCTACATTGTATATGTGTACTGGCCTCGAACTCAAGATCTTCCTGCCTCAACCTCCTCAGTAGCTGAGATTACAGACAGACACCACCATGCCAGGCTCTTACTGTGCATTAGTACATACTGTACTCCATAAATATGTAAAATTTAAATAAATAAAATAATGTTCAACAACAGCAAGCCAGCTATGGAAATGGCATGATTGGGAAGGAAGGAAGGCAGAGTGCATACCGACATCAAAGGACAGAGCTGCGCCGGAGCCAGTCCAAGCCCCCAGTGCACTGGATTGGCCTTCAACAGTGACTGCAATACTGAAATGTGTCCTAGGCGGGCTTTTTTTATTCACTGACACCAGCAAGGAATGGCCACTAGAGGGCGCGCCTGCCCGCCTCTGAGCCCAGGCACTGTGCCTTTTGAGTCCATTCAGGCCTCCTGGGGCACACAACTCAGCAACAGCCAGGTTGCTGGGAACTCAAGTTTTCACCTCTCTGGAGCAGGGACTTTGGGGAATTTTGACTCTATATCCCAATCCTTTTAGGGAAACACATATTTATTCAGTTTGGGCTTCTCATTTTTTTGAAATCAAACAAATCCGTTGTCAGTTTTTAAAACTCATTTTAATGAAGGAACATGAATTACAAAAAGTCACCAGCCTATCACCTATCAGGATGTCTGTGATCAATAAAAACAGAAAGAAAACAAGTTGTCAGGGAAGTGGTGACATTGCAGGTAGAATTTGACTGGTACCGGAGGTGCGTCCAGGGGAAACTCACCAGGATCTTGGGGTCCAGAACAGAGAACTGAGTGAGACAAAGAAAAGGTAGCGAGGTACACATTCACTGAAGGGTGGTGACCCAAGCTCTGCAGGGACAGCATAGTTCGGGTCAGACTCCTAGCAGCTCCAGCACAGGGGCAAGGGGGCTTTTGGAGCTGCAATTCCTGGACTGACTTCTTTCTCATGCAAATAAGCCTTTGGGACATTGTCCTATCAGAAATGCACTGGGGCTGAAGCCAGGCTTAAACTGCCCTATGGAAGACTTGCTTGGTTTCCTGCGGATATAAATAGAGACTTGCAAAGAGGGCTTTTCTGATTGGTTCAGTGTGACCCGGCAGGACCCGGGTGCTTCAGGGTCATCCTGGAGCCTGTGTTCTGTGCATGTGCCCTGAGTCTCCAAGACTTTGACAGCTTCCTCCCAGCAGGTTTTCCCCAGCCCTAATCTACCTCAGTTCCCTCTGAGGGACAGAATCTCCAGTTCTTCATGGGATGCTGAGGCAGCACTGGCCTCTTCTGACAGCTGATTCCTGCTGAAAAGGCCTGCAGGCCCTACCTGCTGCTGGGGGCCTGTGCTCTCTGACTACCCTGGGATGTTGGGCTCACTGGCTGGGCTGGCAAGAATTTGCCAGAAGACAAGGAAAGGGCTGAGGATTTAGCTCTGTGGCATAAGTGCTTGCCTGGCAAGTGCAAGTTGTGAGTTCAATCACACACACACACACACACACACACACACACACACACACACACACAGAGTGAGAGAATGAGAGAGAGAGAGAGACAAGGAGAGAAGAATTAGTGCCCACATGTCAGGAACTGTCAAACTGCCTGGCCAGTGGGAGAAAGCTGTAGGAGAGTCATGGACTGGATCATCATCTGAGGATGGATCTGTTGAAGCCTTCAATGGACAAATCTTACTACCAGGTTTAAGAACCAGCAGCCAAGTATGAGAAGGAACAGGTCGGAATAATTCTTGGTCTCTCTCTTGAAAAGAGTACTATGACTGAGCCAGCAAAAAGACAGTGTTTTTTCTTGCTATTATTTGAGACATTTTCTAGCAGTTTTATTTCCACGTTTCTGTGGACAGGAAAGCATTGTGAAGGGATATTAGGCTACCAAGAGCCTGAGAATGCAGCCCTGGCAAGATTACCCAGTAAAAAGCAGGAGTCCCAGTACCAGTGCCCATATAAGCTGTGGGCACAGTCAATCCTCCAGTGCCATAACTCATTCACACCAGCCACCTGCTACATGGAGCAGGGCCCCAGTAGATGCCTAATATAGTTGCATGCCCAGTGTCCAGATTCCTTGCGTTTAAAACCTGAACTCTTTCTTTGATTGGCCCTGGGTTTCCCTTGGACAACCTGGGTGTGCTTAAGCTACTGCCACTCATGACAGTACAATTTTGGTCTGCCTTTGCTGTTGGTTCCTCTCCTATTTATCCTCCTCTAGATCACGATTGAAAAGGATGAGTTTCACAATGCGGTCCCAGGGGTCCAGGATCTCATCTGAAGTTTTTTAATTTGTGCTGAACAGCTGGCTGGGGCTGACTGATAGTGAGAAACGCTGTCCCACTGGTACCTGACCTTCCTCTGGAGTCAGAACTGAGTTCATAGATTTATGGAAAGCTTCTACTAATCGACTAGGAGAGGCAGCTGGACTGTCCTCTTTGCCCTGCATGACCTCTCTCACCCTTTCATAATTAACATGTTTATTAATGCATCTTTTTATTCCCATAAGAGCAGTAATTATTTTAGACCTCATTTTCAGTCCTTCCCGTTTGCTTCTACCGGGAGGACAGTGCCTTCTCTGGGGCGACTCTGCTCTTTCCACAGCACACTGCTCATCTGCGTATGTCTTAGCCGCCTCTAGGAGTCCTCATGTTTTTATTTAGGGTGCAGAAAGTGGACAAATTGGACAGCTTGCTATGCAAGGTCAAAGACAAGGGTCGAAGTCTGAAGCCCCACTTTCTTGCTTCCCGGGCCTCTTGGGGGCTGCTCTTTGTTTGGGACAGTCACCCACATAAAGCAGCAAGATGGTGGCTGCAGAGAAGATGAAAGAGCCTCTGGAGTCCATCAGCTCCAGGCTCCAGCTTGTCATGAAAAGTGGAAAGTGCACAGTGGGGTAAAAGCAGACTCTGAAGAGTACTAGGCCATGTTGGCCAAAGCTGGCGTCCATCACTACAGTGGCATAATATTGATCTGGGCACAGCAAGTGAAAAGTACTACAGAGCACGCACACTGGCGATCACTGATCCAGGTCATTCCGATATCACTTGAAGCATGCAAGTACACATTGGGGAGAAATAAACCATGCAAAATTCTTCATTGATATAACTTGCTACAGCTTGTTTAAAAAAAAATGGAAGCCCATCTCCAAACCTATTAGGATCTCCTGAAAATCGGCCTGACTCTTCCTTGCATTTTTAGAAACCTGCCACGGAAGAGGAATGTGGACTTGAGTAGTGCCAGGTGTCTGTTAGGAGCAGGATGTGAGCTGCAAGGGCAGGAAACTCTAATCCGCATGTGTCCTGTGGGGCTCCGAGCCATGTGAGGAGCAGGAGGAGGGGTCTGAGGAGTCCTGGGTCTTTCTAGGGAGTGGCAGATGGTGGAGTTTCTGAGTCACTTGAGAGGGTGGCCCTGATTTACTGGCCTGAGGATGGAAGGAGGTGGCTCAGGAGACCCCTCCTCCAGTGTGGCTGTTTTCATGAAACATGAAAGGGAGACCCACATCTCCCTGAGAGACAGGCAGGACCTAAGGAATCATCAGCCATCTCTGCCTCTTCTTCAGGGGTCTCTTTGGCCTTTGCAGAGGATGCTTCCAGATGGAACCATGAAAACCTGGACAGACAGGACTTTAGTCCACTTTCCTTGACTTTTATGGGGAAGTTCTAACTGAAGAAGAGCATTATAACTTATAGACTGCCATTCTGTGCACATCTCTCGCCATTTCTGAGTTGATGTGGAAGCCAAACAGCACTTCCATAGAAAGATATTTTTTCCTCAGATCCTCCGGGTCAAATGTTTCCATTTCTTAAGGCTAATGGTGAGGTCTCTGGGATCTTTGGAAGTTTCCCATGGCACATCATGGGGCTTATGGAAAGAGATTAACCAGGTCTGGGATCCTTCTGAGGGTGGCTCTGCAGAAGGACAGAGACTCATGGGGCTGATTTCAGTCAGTGCTTTGTATAATCACTACAATTACTGCTGTCAAATAGCACGCAAAAGAAAAGAAGCTAAGGAAGGAAGGGAAAGGGAAAAAAGCAATCACAATTGAGAAGAAGAAGGAAATTATGGAGAAATATGAGTGGCTTTTGTGTAAACAATTTCACCAGTATGCACAGCATGTCAAAGTTCGCCATCTCCACAATCTTACAGAGAAAAGATCTGTATAAGGAAGCTAGTGTTGCTAAAAATGTCACTCCGGCTGGGGACTTAGCTCAGTGGTGCAGCGCCTACCTGGCAAGTGTGAGGCCCTGAGTTCAATTCCCCGTACCCCAACCCACCCCCAAAAAGGCGTTACATTAAGTCACAATCAAGAGTGTTAGACAAGGCAGAAGTCTATCAATGTGGATAAATGAAAGGCAGATGGCCAGTTATATTGCCTGAGCCTATAATTTGTGAAAAAGCTGGGGCTAGCTATAAATGCAGATTTCACAAAGGATAATCCATTCATGAGTGATAATGGTGAAACCTTTTGTGTCAGTAAGGGGTGTTTTCACAATTTTAAAATGAGAACTGGGGTCTAGACCATGACTAGGCATGGTTGTGCGGCCAGTGCTGATACAAGGGCGGCTGAAAACTACACACACCACTTCAAAAGGACAACACAGAAAAATGACTTTTGCTCTCATCAAGTTTTCAACTGTGATGAAAGCCTCTGCTGGAAGCGACTGCCCAGGAGAACATACAGTACATTATTCGGGAAGAGAAGAAAAATGCCCGGCCATAAGCATGTGAAGGACAGGCTAGCCTTATTGCTAGATGCCAATGCAGGTGCCTCAGGATAAAGCCTCTCTTGGTTGATTACCCTGAGACCCCAGGGGTGCTCAGCATACATAAGGTCATGATGAATTGGCTCAGGGTCATGTGGAGATCTAACACAAAAGCCTGGGTAACAGGAGTACATTCTCTTGAGCAGATCAGAGAGGCTTTCTGTCCTGCTAAACAATATCTAGAGGACATTACCATAAAAGGCTCTCCTTATTATGACAGTGCTCCTGCTCACCCATGAGATCTGGAAGAGGAACTAGCTGAAGAATTCCCGTGGCTCTCAGTCAAGTTCCTCCCACCTAATACAACTCCTCCACTGCAGCCTGTGGAGCAGCAGGTTATAGCGAGCTTTCAGAAGTGATCCATCAAGAAGCTGCTCCTGCAGGGCTTGCAGGTGGTCTCAGATACAGGTGTAACCTTTAAAGAGTTCTGGAAGGAAAATTAAATCCTTTCTGGTGTGGGGTTAGTTGAGAAATCCTGGGCCACTGTTTATCTAAGGACCCTGACATCCGCCTGGAACCACATGTAGCCTAAAATTACACAGGAGAGACTCTGAAGGGTACACAGAGGAGCCTGAGCCTTCCAGTGACCCTGTGATAGACCACTCTGTCATGACAGCAGAGCCCGCAGGCTTGCTGGTGGACAGTGGTCATGTCCAGGAACTGCTGGAGGAACACTCGGGGAACTGCCTATGGAGGAACTGCACCAACTTCTGGCTGCCAGCAGAGAATGGCAGTGAGGAGCTTTCTGAACGGGTGGGTGGGGGGCATCAACAACCAGTTCAGCAAAGTTCTTCTTCTAAAATAAGGGAAATCCTGAAAAAATGCACAGAGTTTTTTTTTTTTTTTATGTGTACTTGTGTTTTTTTTTTTTTTTAATTTAAGAGGAAAAAGAGAAAAACACAAAACAAACCAAAGCGGTGTAAGGGTACACGTAATACACAGAACTACAAAACAAAACAAAACAAAACAAAACATAACAGTAAGAAATCACCTGTTAGTAGATTACATATTATCATCTTGAAAATAGTTCCTCAAATCACAGTATCAAAGAATACAAGGTGGACATTCAAACAGGGAGACTGCAAACAGCTGTGTTCAATGATCCAAAAACATTGGTATAGTCAGCTATTTAACACCCCTAAATACACTTGCTGTTATATCCGTTAGAGCTCTTTTTCTTTTTTTTTCCCTCTCTTTTTTACAACAAAATATACACATTTTGGATTTTATTACTCCTTAGTGCTTATTACTTTTTTTTGGGGGGGGGAAGAATACAGTCAAATATGGCAAAACAAAGCTGTCAGTCAATACCAAGGAGACATAGCACATGGTGTAGAACAGAGTACAAGTTTATCAACAATGGTTATCAACTTTGTCCCTTGTTTCCTTAAAAAGAATTGTCTATCTCATTAGATATTATAAAGTTGGACAAAACAGTAGAGAACAAGACCAATAAAACTTAGGCATTGTAAACATTACAGGACTTCCAAAGAAGACAATAGTCAAACCAGAATGGGTATCTTAGTGAAACTTATTGCCTTCAAAGTAGTTGCCTATGTCTTCAAACTTGATACTATCATATAGAATGGAACAGAGTCTAATCAGTCAAAACAAGATCGTGGGAGTACTACAGGACTTCAAAACAAGTTAATAGGAAATCGAAAAGAGTTACTATTTATATATCCTAATTTTTTGAATTTTTTCTTTAATTAAGACAAACATAAGAAATGACTAAATAATTTTTTTAAAACAATAAGGGGGAGATTAAGATAAAACAGGACATAACAATATAACAATAGAGGTCACAGCATGACTGTTTCAACAACCTAGTACTTCACCACCATATAACCCGACTTAATAGTAGTTATCATAGTGTCTTTTTCCTTGAAATATTTGGATAAAACTTCATATACTCTAGCTTCAAATATTTTCATATCAAGAAGCCCAGAATAAAGCCTTTCTAATTAATGAGTGAAAACTTTATAAGGCTTCAGGGCCACCTAATGGGGGATCATGATTACCACATATTTTTATATATTTGAATCATTACTTACATTAGGGAAACTATTCGGTATTCACACATGTGAGATTGATTTATTTCACTTATGAGTATGGTCTCAAGCTGCGCCCATTTATTGATAAATATCTCAATGCAATCCTTCTTTATAGCTGAATAATACTCCATTGTATAGAAATACCACAACTTTTTTATCCATTCCTCAGTTGATGGACACTTGGGTTGTTTCCAAGATCTGGCGATTACAAATTGTGCTGCTATAAACATAGGTGCACATATATCACTGTGGTATGATGCTTTCAGTTCTTCTGGGAATATGCCTAGAAGTGGAATAGCTGGAATAAATGGGATTTCCAGTCCCAACTTTTTGAGAAATCTCCAGACAGATCTCCACAAAGGCTGTACCAGTCTACACTCCCACCAGCAGTGCAGGAGAGTTCCATTTTCCCCACAGCCTCTCCAGCATTTGTTGTTGTTGGTTTTCTTGATCCTGGCCATTCTTTCAGGAGTGAGATGGTATCTCAGTGTGGTTTTAATTTGCATTTCTCTAATGACCAATGATGATGAGCATTTTTTCATGTATTTATTTGCCATTTGCATTTCTTCATCTGAGAATTGCGTATTCATCTCAGATGCCCATTTTTGGATTGGATCTTTGAATTTTGGAGGTCTGAGTTTCTTTAATTCTTTATATGTTTTAGACAAGAGTCCCTTGTCTGAGAGAGAGTTCACTAAAATCTTTTCCCAGTTTGTGGGTTTTCTTTTCACTATGCTGGAGATTTCTTTTGACATGCAGAAACTTTTTAATAAAAAGTGGTCCCAGTTATTGATTCTGGGAAGTATTTCCCATGCGGTTTGAGTCCTGTTCATGAATTCTTTACCTACTCCTATGTCTCAAAGGTTTCTACCTAATTTGTCTTCCAATAGATTTAGTGTTTCTGTTTTAATATTCAGATCTTTGACCCATTTAGATTTTAATTTAGTACATGGTGATAGACATGGGTCTAGCTTTAGTTTTCGGCAAATGGAGAGCCAGTTTTTCCAGCACCATTTATTAAAGAGCCTGTCATTCTTCCAGTGAACCTGCTTGGCTCCTTTATCAAAGATAAGGTGGTTGAGTGTGTTCGTAGTTGTGGTTGTATCTTCTAATCTATTCCACTGATCTTCGGCTCTGTTTTGATTCCAATACCATGTTGATTTTACTACTGTTGCTTTTTAGTATAACTTCAAGTCAGGGATTGTGATGCCTCCTGCTTTGTCTTTGCTGCTTAGAATTGCCTTTGTGATTCTAGGTCTCTTCTGGTTCTAGATGAAATTTAGGAGTGATTTCTCTAGATCTATAAGGTATGTTGATGGTATTTCTATTGGGATTGCATTGAATCTGTATAACAGTTTTGGGAGAATGGCCATTTTCACAATGTTTGTTCTTCCTATCCATGAGCAAGGGATGTCTTTCCATTTTCTGAGATCATCTTCAATTTCCTTTTTCAGTGTATTATAATTTTCACTGTATAAGTCTTTCACTTCTTTCGTAAGAGTAATTCCTAAATATTTCTTTTTTTTGCTTGCTAATGTGAATAGTCCAGTTTCTCTTATTTCCCTCTCTGTAATTTTGTTGTTCGTGTATAGGAATGCTATTGATTTCTGAGTATTGATTTTGTATCCAGCCACATTACTGAATTTATTTATTGTATCTAAGAGTATTTCAATGGAGTTTAGGGGGTCTTCTATGTAGAGTATCATGTCATCTGCAAACAATGATAATTTAACTTCTTCTTTTCCTATCTTTACCCCTTTTATTTCTCTTTCTTGCCTAATTGCTCTGGCTAGTACTTCCAGTACTATATTAAATAGGAGTGGTGATAAAGGACATCCTTGTCTTGTGCCCGATTTTAAAGTAAAGGCTTTCAATTTTTGGCCATTTAGTATGATGCTGGCTGTTGGTTTGTCATAAATGGCCTTTGTTATATTGAGGTAAAGACCATTTATTCCAATTTTCTGTAAAGTTCTTATCATGAATAAGTGTTGGACCTTAACGAAGGCTTTTTCTGCATCAATAGAAATGATCATGTGATTCTTATTTTTGGCTTTATTGATATGGTGGATTACATTTATTGATTTGCGTATGTTGAACCATCCTTGAATTCCTGGGATGAATCCCACTTGGTCATGGTGTATAATCTTCTTGATGATTTGCTGGATCCTATTTGCCAATATTTTATTGAGGATTTTTGCATCTGTGTTCATTAGGGAGATCGGTCTATAGTTCTCTTTTATAGTTGGGTCTTTCTCAGGTTTTGGTACTAGAGTAATATTTGCTTCCAGGAATGACTTAGGAAGGATTGCTTCCCTTTCAATTTCATTGAAGAGTTTGAGGAGTGTCGGCATTAGGTCTTCTTTGTATTTCTTGTAGAATTCTGCAGTGAATCCATCTGGGCCTTGGCTCTTCTTGGTGGGTAAGGACTTAATTACATTTTCAATTTCATTAGCAGAGATTGGGTTATTCAACAGTTTTACATCCTCTTGATCTAGCTTTGGTACTTCATATGCTTCTAAGAATCTGTCTATTTCTTCTGTGTTATCAAACTTTTGAGAGTAGAGGTTTTCGAAATAGGTGTTGATGATCCTCTGTATTTCTATTGGGTCTGTAGTGATTTCTCCTTTTTCATTTCTTATTGCATGAATTTGAGCTTTTTCTTCCCTTTTTTAAATAAGGTTGGCTAGGGGCTTATCGATTTTATTTATTCTTTCAAAGAACCAACTCTTTGATTCGTTGATTCTTTGGATTGTTTTCTTAGTCTCTATTGCATTGATTTCTGCTCTGATTTTTATAATTTCCTCTCTTCTTTTGGCTTTGGGCTTGACTTGCTCTTCTTTTTCTAGCTGTTTGAGGTGTAGCATCAAGTTATTTATTTGTATTCGTTCTGTTTTCCTGATGTGGGAACTCAGTGCAATAAATTTTCCTCTCAGAACGGCTTTCATTGCATCCCACAGATTCCGGTAAGTTGTATCTGCATTTTCATTTTCTTTTAGGTATTGTTTAATTTCTTCTTTAATTTCTTCTGTGACCCACTGATTACTCAAGAGTGTGTTATTTAGTTTCCATGTGTTTGCGGAATTTTTGCAGTATCCTTTGTCATTAATTTCTAATTTCAGAGCGCTATGATCCGATAATATGCAAGGGATGGTTTCAACTCTTTTGCATTTGCTTAAATATGTTCTGTGAGCTAATATATGGTCTATGTTAGAAAATGATCCATGTACTGCTGAGAAGAATGTGTATTCTGATGTTGTTGGGTGGAACATTCTGTATATGTCTATCAAACCCATTTGTTCACAGGTGTGATTCAGTTCTGTTATTTCTTTGCTCATTTTCTGTCTGGTTGATCTGTCCTTTGGTGTCAGTGGTGTATTAAGGTCTCCTGTTACAATTGTGTTACTGATAATTTGAGTTTTCATTTTTGTTAATAATTGTTTTATATAACTGGGTGCTCTGGAGTTTGGTGCATTTATATTTAAGATAGTTATCTCTTCCTCTTGGAGTTTTCCCCTTACGAGTATGTAGTGACCTTCTTTGTCCTTTATGGTCATTGTTGGTTTAAAGTTCACGTTGTCTGCAAACAGAATGGCTACTCCTGCCTTTTTTTGGATTCCTGCTGCATGAAGAATTGTTTTCCATCCTTTGACTTTCAGTCTGTGAGTATCCTTCTGGGTTAGATGGGTTTCCTGTAAACAG